AGTCTAGATGCCCGAGTGGTCTAAGGCGCTGCGTTAAGGTTGCAGTCTCCCCTGGAGGCGTGGGTTCAAATCCCACTTCTGACAGAAGGTTAAGACCAGTGTTTTAATTTCTGTAAAGTCCAAAACAAGAGGTTGCGAGGGAAACCGTGAAAAAGGCATTCATGTAACGAATAAATGTCCACTTACGTGAATGTGTATGTGCCTTACACATGTATAATTGCCACATGGGAGGACGCTGCCGGCATCATAGCTGATATTTCTCGCTCTTTTGCAAAGAAGGATGTGCAATTCAATGATATATGAAATGTAGGTTATCCTAGTATTTGTCATAATTTCAGTGTGTGAGGTATATTACAGTCAGGATGGCCGAGTGGTCTAAAGCGCTGCGTTAAGGTTGCAGTCTCCCCTAGAGGCGTGGGGTCAGATCACACTTCTGGCATAAGGTTCAGACAAGTCTTTAAATTTCTGTAAAGTGCAAAACAAGAGGTTGCGAGGGAAACCGTGAAAAAGGCATTCATGTAACGAATAAATTTCCCGCTACGTGAATGTGTATTGTGCCTAAGGGAGCACGCTGCCGGTATCAGACCTGATATTTCTCGCTCTTTTGTAAAAAGGATGTGCAATTCAATGATATATGAAATGTAGGATATCCCTAGGATTTGTCAAAATTTCCAGTGCTTGAGGTATATTACAGTCAGGATGGCCGAGTGGTCTAAGCGCTGCGTTAAGTTCGCAGTCTCCCCCGGAGGCGTGGGGTTCAAATCCCACTTCTGACAAAAGGTTTAAGACAAGTCTTTAAATTCCCGTAAAGTCCCAAAACAGGAGGTTGCGAGGGAAACCCGTGAAGAAGGCATTCATGTAACAAATAAATGTCCAGTTACGTGAATGTGTATGTGCCACAAGGGAGGCCGCTGCAGGTATCAGACTTGATATTTCTCGCTCTTTTGTAAAAAAGGATGTCAAATTCAATAATATATGAAATGTAGTTTATCCTAGTATTTGTCATAATTTCAGTGTTGGAGTTATTTTACAGTCAGGATGGCCGAGTGTTTTAAGGCGCTGCGTTAAGGTCCCAGTCTCCCCGGGAGGCGTGGGTTCAATTCCCACTTCTGACAAAAGGTTAAGACAAGTGTTTTAATTTCTGTAAAGTCCAAACCAAGAGGTTGCGAGGGAAACCGTGAAAAAGGCATTCATGTAACAATAAATGTCCACTTACGTGAATGTGTATGTGCCACAAGGGAGGACGCTGCAGGTATCAGAGCTGATTTTTCTCGCTCTTTTGTAAAAAAGGATGTGCAATTCAATGATATATGAAATATAGGTTATCCTAGTATTTGTCATAATTTCAGTGTTTGAGGTATTTTACAGTCAGGATGGCCGAGTGGTCTAAGGCGCCAGCGTTAAGGTCGCAGTCTCCCCTGGAGGCGTGGGTTCAA